CCCCAAATTTCTGGGTTTTTTGCCTGTAAGTGGGCGCGGAGGAGGGATCAGCTTAAAAGTGGGGGCAGGAAGAGCGAAGGGGAAGGGGGTCTCTGCCGTTTTAGTGGCGGTTCGGGGGTCCCCGGTTGGGATGGGTGTGGGGAACGCGGTATGGTATCCCCTCCCCCCTTTTCCTGAGGTAATTTTTGTCTGAAAAGTCGTTAAAAAGGGCAAGGCGCTCAGGACGGGGAAAAGCCTTAGGAAAACGGTGCCTTCAGGGTGTAAGAAGGGTGAGGAATTGGGAGGTTTCACTCCAAAATCTTGTGGAGAGCGGACTGGGGGGGGGGGGGGGGGGGGGGGGGACTCCCCTCCTGGGGGCGGGAAAAGGGGCTGTTTGGGTAAAAAACCCTGCAGTTTTCAGGTCAGTGCTGGTTTTTGAGGCCTCCCCCACGGTGCTGAGTCAGGGCCAAAACCTGTACCCTGGGCCTCAAAACCGGCTTAAATTGGCCTAAAACTGCTGGCAGAGCTGTTGGGCCTCTTTCAGACTCATGAAGATTTTTAGTGCCATTCCAGTTAAAAAAACCCCAACCTAGCTGTTCCTTTTTATTTTTTTTTCCCCCCTAATAAAAACCCAGGTTTTGGTGAAAACCAGGTGCACCTTTCCAATGGAAAATGCTCTAAAATTGTCCTTCCAGGCCCAGTCCCTGAGGAAAAAACAGCTTTTTGGGACATTTCCATGCAGAAAACACAGACTCCAGCTATGTGGTTGCTAATAAAATAATTTTAAAGCTGAAATCTGGGGGAGAGGGGGCAGTGTACATGCTTAAAACCAACCAGAAATGGGCAAATCATTGCTGCAAAAATCATCATTGAGGTGATTTCCAAAAAATACAAATGTGTGAGTGAGGGGAGGCCTCTCCCTACCGCTGAAATGGCTGAAAAAAAACCAGTTTTGTGGGTCTTAATGGCAGAATAATGCAGGAAAATAATAATAACAGCAAACTTGTCTTGTCCCACAGGAAACGCCCTGGAAATGCGTCAGAAAAACTTGCCCTTTGCCTCCGAAATGCCTCGTTGGCTTCATCAGGAGCTTTAATTAGCCCCCGGTCGGCTTTAATTACAGGTTTGGGGAGGTGGGGGGGGGTGTGGCTGTCTGCCCTGCCCGGAAATGCCTCAAAATGCCACAAAAGGGATTTTTTTTTTTTTTTTTTAACCTGGTTGAGAACAGGCTGTGCCATGACTCAGCACGGCCTTGAAACTGTGCGAAATGCAGAGATTTTGGTGTATTTTAAGGGGAAAAAAAAAGAGTTGTTTGGGCTTTTCTGGAAAGGGGCAAAAATAAATACTAAAAAAGGGTCGTTTGGGGCTTTGCTGGAAACAAGGGAGATAGGTGAAAAAAGGGTTTCTGGGGTCTCTGCGTCCTCCTCAAGAGCCAAGCATCGCTCACCTTTTTTCCCCAAATTTGTGACTGTTTTGGGGAGGAAAGGAAACTTTTTTTTGCAAGGGCCCAGACCCGTGATGCAGCAAGAGTGAAAATGACGTTAAATATTATTAAATAAATAACGAGAATGCTCAAAAATCGTCCAGAAGAGCTTTTTTTTGTGTTGAGAAGAGGCAAAACCGAGCAAAAAAACTTGGTGTTAAATTTAACCACGTTTGTGCTAAAGCAGGTGGGGCAGCTGAACGCCTCCTGCTGCCAGCGTGATTTGTGGGGAGAAAAACGAAAAAAAAAAGAAAAGAGGTGTTCTTGAAAGCCGGGGCAGGATTGATTTTTTTTTTGGCTGCTGCCCTTTTTTGGCGATTTTGGGGACTATTTCTTTGCCCCCCCCGCGGAGGCGGCTGCGGCGGCGCTGACGTCACGCGGCTTTATAAGGCGGCGGCCGCCGCGCGCTGCCGGGCGCTCTGCGAGGAACCGGCCCCGAATCGGGCGGAATTCGGCAAAACCGGCCGCTCCCTCGGCGGGGGGGCCGGAGCCGGCTCCGCGCTTCTCCGCTGCCAAAAAGCTCGCAAAGCCGCTCTGTTTTTTAAGCAAAGCTCTTAAAGCTGCTTGATTTAAAGAAAAAAAAAAAAAAAAAGACCGGGAAGCTGTTTCCTTTAAGGATAAAAGGCTTTTAAAGCTGTTTTCTTTTCTTGAATTCTTAAAATACGGCAGTTCAGTCGTTCGGAGAAGCCGGAGCGAGCTGGGGCACTTTTTTAAAAAAAAAAAAGGCTTTCAAAGCTGCTACATTTAAAAAAAAAAAAGCTCTTAAAGCTCTTATTTTTTAAAAACGAAGCTCTTAAAGCCGTTTCTAAAACAAAACTCCTAAGGCTGCTTCCTTTTACGAAAAAGAAGCTCTTGAAGCTGTTTTTTTTTTAATTCTTAAAACACTGTAATTTGATAGTTTAGAAAAGCCAGAGCGAGCTAGGGCGCTTTTTAAATGTAAAAAAGCTTTCAAAGCTGCTTTACTTTAAAGAGAAAAAAAAAAAGGCGCCTTTAAACCTGTTTTCTTTTAAAAAAAGCTCTTACAGCTCTTTTACTTTCTTTAAAAAAGCTCCTAAAGCTGTTTTATTTTTTTAAAAAGCTCTTAAAGCTGTTTTAATTTTTTTAAAGAGCTCCTAAAGCTGCTTTCTTTAAGGAAAAGCTGTTAAAAGCTTTTTTTCCTTGTTTCTCCTAAAAAGCAGCGCCGGGCCGGGCCGGGGGAGCGCAGGTTGGGTGCGGGTGCGGATGTTTCGGAGAGTTTGGGGTGAAATGCGGCATTTTAAGTCAAGACAGAAGATTGCTGGCAAAGGAAGATGGATTGAGAGAGGAGATAACTGGGGGAAAAGAAAAGGAAAAATCAAGAGTGAAGATAAGCCTTGGCAGGGAGGAAGATTAACGGCTTGACGAGAGAAATGAGGGAGTTTAATTTTTTTCCCCCAGCGGCCCCTGCTGGGGGAAAAAAAGGACTTTTTGGTAAAAGGCAGTGGCTGGCAGCCGGGAAGGAGGTGCTGGGCAGGGCAACCCTGGGGAAGAGGAGAAAGAAGTGAGAAAAGAGGAAAAAAAGGGAGAAAAGAGGAAAAGAAAGAGCCAGTGCAAGTTGGCTGAGCTGGAGGAAATCTTAAAAATTCAGGGGAAAAACAGCCCGTGGAGATGGGTGAAGCTGGAGGAGAAAATAGAGGAGAAAAAAAAAAAAAGAAAATAGAAAAGAAAAAAAGAGAGAAAACCAGAAAATAGAGGAAAGAAAAAATAATCATCTGGAAATTGGAGAAGATAGAAAAAAAAAAAAGAAAAATCAGAGGAGCCAGTGGAAATTGGTGAAGCTAGAGGAGGAAAGAGGAAAAAAAACAGGCAAAAATGAGAAAAGAGGAAAAAAAAGAGAAAAGAGAAAAAAAGAGAAAAAAATAAGAGAAAATTAAAGAGGAAGTAGAGAAAATAAGAAAATGAGGATAGAAGAAAAATAAGAAAATGAGGATAGAAGAAAAGAGGAGGAAATGGAGAAAAGAGAAACGAAGCCAGTGGAAATTGGTGAAACTGGAGAAATTAAATTTAAAAAAATAAGGAAAAAAAAAAAAAAGATCAGGAGCCGGAGGAAGGTTGTACGGAGCAGGAAACGGGAGAGAAAAGGAAGAGAAAGACAAGAAAAAGAGCAAATGGCGAACAGGAACCCGCTGGAGTAAGGAGATTTTCAGGAATTTAAGGAAACGCCCCAAAACGGAGCCGGAGCTGGTGGGGCTGGAGGAGGAACTGGCCGGAGGCGGCAGCTGGGTGAGGCCCTTCCCCCTGCTCGTTCTGGGGGGGTTTGGGGGGGTGGGGGGGGCTCTTGTCATTGCAGGCGCCGTGGCCGTCACCCCCACTCCCCCCTTTTTTCTGTAAAACCCCCAAGAAACGGGGACCCCCCCCCCCCAAACCCCACTCCAGCGTCACCAGGCTCCGGCCGTAGCGCTCCGTAGGTCCCGCCTGTTGCCACAGAGTAAGTGATGAAAAATCCCTTCTTTTTCCCCCCAAAAAGGCGACGTGCGGGAGGGGATGGCTGAAACTCTCTGGAAAAGGGGAAAAGAGGAAAAAAGGGGGGGGGTGTTGGGGGGGGGGGGGGGGGGGTCTCGAGTGTTTTTGCCCCCTCAGGGAAGCAGCAAAACGCAAGAAAAAAAGGCAAATAACGGTGAGAAAAATGCCAAGGAAAAGTAAAAAGAGACCCCGGGTCTCAGGATTTAACCAAAAAAGGCAAATCTGCAGCCAGAGCGCACTCAGGAGCTTTTCCGCAGGGACCTTTGAGGATAAAAACACTGATTTGATTAATGTGGAGCCGGTCAGAAGTAAGATTTTTATTTAATTTTGTTGTTTTGGGGCGTTTCCGTTGGTTACTGGCTGGTGGAGCTGGGTCAGGGTCCGGCCTGGGGGCATGGCGGGGGGGCGGCGTGTTTTGGGCTTGTTTCCAGCCTTTCCGCAGATGCAGTGGTAGGAGGCAGCTTGGAAGAAAAGCCGCTTTTTTGCCCCCAAAACGGAGCTGGAAAATCAGGATTGCGGCTCGTGCCGAGAGTCCCCAGGAGCTTCCCTTAGGAAAAAATAACGTAAAGAAACCCCCAACCCCCTAAAACGCTCAGCAGGGGAGGGGGACGGAGCCA